GGGACGGGAATTAAAATTTCTTTGCGATGGACTTTTGATTTCGCATGGCACGGTCATAATTCCAAGATCGATAAATGATATTTAAAATGGCTCTAATTCCAAGATCGATAAATGACATTTAAAATGGCTCTAATTCCAAGATCGATAAATGACATTTTAAATGGCTCTAATTCCAAGATCGATGAATGACATTTAAAATGGCTCTAATTCCAAGATCGATAAATGACATTTAAAATGGCTCTTATTCCAAGGATGCAGGTGTTTCAGATAGAATTTTATTGTTGGAATGAAATCAACAATATTAATTGATACACAGCATCAAGCTGGCGCAGAAAAATCGGAAAACACACTTGATAGCCAATATCAACTAGTGTAAAATATAGTTATGTTCATAAACTTGATCAAAGCATTAATTCATAGTTTTGTGATTATTGTTTTAAAAATATATTAAATTTACTTTCTTGTTTCTTATATGACTTATATAATTATTACTATCATTTATATTTCATGGTAAACATAGTTGAACTATCCTGTATTTTAATAAAACAATTTTATTCAGTAGAAATTTGACATGGTTTAAACGTACGTAACTATAGATCATCAAATATAATAAATAATATTTTCGAAATCACATATAAAGACGACTTTTTTATTGTCAGCTTAATGCATCAGTTACGGTTTATATATTTGGCGTAAATTTCATAACGATGTCGGAAGCACGGCAAAATCTTTGAAAGATACGCTTCCATTTAAAAAATGTCACTTGACCCTAGGAAAGTTAATTTATAAGGATCGGAAGCTATCGATCGTTCAGCTAAAAATCGCGTCGTGCGCATGCGCGGAATCGCACATAGGATAAAATTGAAATCAATCAGGTACGTATACAAGTAAAATGGTTTCCTGCGGGGAATATTTTTGATGATATAAAGATATTTCATTTAACTATCTTCAACATTGTTTGGGTGGGTGGATAAATAAACGTTTGTATCAGGAATATAGTTGACAATAATCGATCAATATAGAAGACTGGTGACCGTTAATGACCGGAGAAGGTCGAACATAAAGCAATTATTGCTTTATGATTAAATAGGTCTACCATTTTATGAATAACTCCGAGCAAAAAAAAAAAGAAGAAAAAAAACCAAACACACAAGTTTTCGCAGAAAACATCTCTATTTATTATGGCAGATGCCACTACGAATATTTTAATTTTGTAGATTTTCAGTATAAACAATTTATTGTTTGTAACATTTTGAGATACATATTAAAGAACATTGATAATTTTCAAACACATCATTCAAGTTTTTCCACCTTATTCGGTATTATAATTATAGAAAATTAAAAATATCACGTAATAGTTTTTTGTTCTTAATTAGGTGTAATTCTGACTTTCCCTAGAGGATTATCCGTAACGTACCGGCATACGGTATTTAGCCAGGTTTTCGAAAAGGTCAATTAACCAATCATGTACGGTTTAATATGTTTTAATTATAATTTTCTTTATTTAGTGAATTGGTCTACAAAGGCAGGTCTGTAATACAATAAATCATTATGTTTATAGTATTAAGTATAATAGGTGATCCAAATGATATATCTCTATTGTTTTTATCAATATTTGAAATACATGTACTTGTATTTATGAAATCTGGAGCAGCGGAAAGTCACATATTTTGTACCGATGTTCGAGTTCTTCTCGCCCTCGTGCTTTACAAGCTACCTTCGTTAAATTAATAGTTTATTATTAAAATTCAAGACAAAACGTTCAACCCAATTCTCCAATCCCTGATCGGCAGTTGGAATTGTTCTGAATACAATAATATTTGTTATGTGTGTGCCTGGAAGTTAGCCTATTCAGACTCTCTGGCGGGTACTTTATGCTACCACTTATATGTTAGTGCATCCGTTGTTTGTATGCATCTTTTAAAGATCTCACACCGGCTTCAGTCACAGACCAGAATATCAAGCTCTAGCGTAAAGTTCTGTTAAAAACTCTACCGAGTTTCCGCTAGTGCCAGATATTCCGGTCTGTTACGACAGCCGATGTTTGGTTCTTTTTCTTGCATATCATATTTCGAAAAGAAATTACGAAAACTAAAAATATTTTCGTTTAAGCACCTTTAACACTTTTTCTTATAGAAATGTATGAACTTCATTCATAACGTCAAAACGACGTCATTCTAAAAACGTAATTCACCCACAAAAGGTGCAGAAATGACGTCATTTAAAGCACGCGGCTTGTCACCGTTGTAAACACTAGATAATCGTGTCTGATATGCAAGAAGTATTTGAGCCGCGTCACGACAAAACCAACATAATGGGTTTGCGACCAGCATGGATCCAGACCAGCCTGCGCATCCGCACAGTCTGATCAGGATCCATGCTGTTCGCTATCGGACTAGAGTTGATAAGCGAACAGGATGGATCCTGATCAGACTGCGCGGCTCATTTGTATTTTCTTGCTTAGTTGGTTATTAATTTCTGGGTATTCAGTATTATCTTAACTGAAATTTAAAATACTCATCAACGATACCGTCTGGGATCCACACAATAAAAATAAAATAAATCAAATAGAGAAAGTGCGAAACAAGATCAACTTCGACTGTCCGTGCTCTGCCTTGTGCCCTATCCTGTTTTTGTTTGGGGTCCGCCTGGGCTCCTTGCCACTGTATTTGTTGCTGGGTCGTGTGGAGGTTGCGTTCATGAACGCCGCCTTTCCTTGTTGATCTTGTTTATTATATTGCAACATATATGCTCAGTTTCTTATTTGATAAATAACCTTAAACTGACATTATCTCCATCCATGTGTAGAAAGTTAGTAAAGAAGGTGAAAGTGATAGTAATTCCTTTCAATTTTATAATTTTATTCGCATTAACGATAAATGACTTATATTGGCCAAGGAAATTTATGTCCATCGAAATTTACCTGTACCATTCAATTTATATAAAAAGGTTGTCCAGGACAGTCTTTATATATTTTAGTCAGAATTTTATTTTACCCTAAACATTTTCTAGTATCATCTGTTGGTCAATCACAATTATAACAGTCAATCTTTTGAAATATATGCTCAATTTAGCTCAATCGACTTGACAATGAAAAAATGAGCACAATGCCTTGGAACCCAATGTAAATTATAAAGGAACAAGAGCCCTTTTAATAACGTAAGTATAGAATTTACTTAAGTATGAAATATGAAAAACAAGATCAACAAGGAAGGATGGATTCAATGAACGCAATCCCCACACGACCAAGCAACACAGGATCACCGACAAAGAGCCCAGCGGGACACAAACAAAAGCAGGACAGGGCACAAAGGGCTTTGAAAACGCATGCCTGTTGTTTTTTTGTTTGTTTCAAACTAAATTAATTAAAAAGGATTCCATCAAATTCATATTATATAACTACTTGATAAACCAATAATGCAACAATTGAAATATTATAAAATGTAAACAAGTGTATTATATTTGATAATTTTAATGCCACGAGATGAAAATAAATCCTGCATTTATAGAAAATTTAAAGAAAAATCTTTCGAATCGAAAGGTCAAAATAAAAAAAAAAATGTTTATTTAATAAACACCACTTACTTTTTTCATCTTGTAGCATAAAAAATATCACATTTAACTCATGGCTATAATCGCAATTCGTGAAATGTTCATTTACTCGATGAAAAAATAAGTAAATAAAATTTATTAAAAGCCTAAACATATTTATATATTTCAGTTTAAGAACATGATGGTGTCAATCCATAAATTGGACGACCAGCCAAAGGCACAAAATTGGAATCATGGGATCATCGGATTTTGGCGTATTTACACTGAAAATTTACTTATCCATTCTGATAAAAGAACATGACAAATCTGTCTATAGATATATTAACAAATATTGCTACATTCATTTTACCTTAGAACAAAATAGTCAATGGACTAGAGCTCTACCACAATTATAATTTATTAGACTGAATTTTAAATGTGTGCATTTACTGAACGAGTTGAATACAATAAATGAATATTAGCTAAGCGAGCTCCTGGCGAGCGTAACACTTTTCATTCAATGAGTTCAATAAACTTATTCTGCAATTTTCATGTAATTTTGCTCTTTTTAATGCTTCCGAGGGATCACTTTTTTCCAGATAATTTTACATCACAACAACAGGTGTCAAGTGCTGTAAGTGTGAGTTGCCCGTACTTCACTTCAGTGTTGTTATATTTTTCTGGTCATTCGGGATCATTGAGTCCAGCAATTTTAAGTGTTGAGAAATGAGTATCCCTCATGTACAGATCGACTCAATCAGACCGAGTCAGCAATTTTCATGTAATTTTTCTGTTGAGGGATCAATTTCTTCCAGATATTTATATATAGTATAGTTTTCTCTATGCAAAATATGAACTGTTTACTGCATGAGTAGTACAATAAAAAAGAATACCTTTTCATTGGTAAATACACCTATAACACTTTCATTTAGCGCGACATTTCAGGACCATCGCAACATCTTATTTTTTGTCGTTTTGGACGTTCTGTAGGGATACAGTACTTAAGTGTTTTTCTCTACTTAAACGTTTCTGTATATAGTAGAATATGAAAAACAAGGCCTATCTTACTTTTGTATAACGTATTAGTGACGTCATGTCAAAATAATTATATGCACGGCCGTGCAGTATCATTTTAACTGATTCGTAATAGCGGCACGGGTATGTGTATGTGATAAAATGAGTATAATACTCATACTGTACAGCAGTCACAGCAGTTCTAATTAAGCGCCCCTACAGACTACAGTACAGTCAACTTTTTTAATGGTCTCATTGTTAATAAATGATCAATTGTTTTATCATAATTATCATGTACAATTTTTATGCAGATACTGTATTATTTTTATTATTGCCCATACACAGGTATTTGAAGAAGACCTTAACACATATCCGGCACTAAAAAACTGGAGAAGAAAAGTGTTTAGTGGTGTTCAACCTAATTTAGGAAGTGATCAAGTGTGTAGAAACACCATGATATTAGTCGGCAGTCAATTTCCGCTTTAACCATATGAAACAGGAAGCGTGAGTTGTTTGGCGAAAGATTTGTTTGTTATTGTTAAAATTAAACATAGACTAAAAGATGGAGCTTTTGAAAAATGTTGTTGATCTGCAGGATAGAGAAGGATTAGTGCAGGCTGCAAAGCTTTCGGAGCAAGCCGAACGATTTGATGATATGGCTAAGCTAATGAAAAATGTAACGGAATTGTTGTCAAAGCCTCAAAAGGAAGGGGCTGAAGAACTTTCGACGGAAGAAAGAAATTTGTTGTCAGTTGCTTATAAGAATGTTGTAGGTGCTAGGCGATCATCATGGCGTATGATGTCAATGATTGAAGGAAAGGAGAAAGATCATTCATCCGACAAGGCTCAGTTAGTGCAGAAATACAAAAAAGTGGTTGAAAAAGAACTTGACGACATCTGTGACGAAGTTTTGAATTTGTTAGATAAGTATCTGATACCTACAGCTGTATCCATTGAAAGTAAAGTCTTCTATTTGAAAATGAAAGGCGATTACTTTAGATACCGTGCAGAATACACCCCAGAGGACAAGAGGAAAGAGGTTCAAGATGCCGCGGAGGCCGCTTACAAGGAGGCAATGGAAGCAGCCGAACAAAATATGCTTCCAACTCATCCTAACAGACTTGGCTTAGCATTGAATTTCTCAGTGTTCTATTATGAAATTCAGAGTGCCCCGGACAAGGCTTGTAGTCTAGCAAAGGCCGCGTTTGACAATGCAATAGCTGAACTGGATAATTTAGACCAAGAGTCGTATAAAGACAGTACATTGATAATGCAGTTGCTAAGAGATAACTTGACACTCTGGACATCTGACTCGCAACAAGATCAAGAGCAAGAAGCAGATAATTGAAATGGCTCCATATAACTGTCTAGATTTGTATTCAAGTTATGTTGTAAGACAATATGATGGACATATTCCTCTGTTCTGGTGGTGAACTACGTCAAAGCATAGTTGATACAAAGAAAATGAAGAAAATGATGAATAGTGATAAAATTGATGTTTAATATAAAATCCAACCCAGATTGTGTGACTGTCGATTTCGATTCCAAACTGCATTGTTTTTAATTTCATGGCGTTTTATCTGTGACTTAATGACACTCGTGACTTGAAATGTAGACTGGCAGTAAAATTTGTACTCAAACTTTGTAACATTAGATTTGACTTTATTGTTATAAAAGAATTTCTTTGATGTGTAAAACATTCTCTCTGAAAACTAATGCAAAATGCCTATATTTGTTATTGTTTTTTATTGTGAAGAATGAAAAAAAGGTTTTAGAAACAGATTACTTTTGTACTTTACTTTATGTGCAGAATTTTATATGCTTGTGCAGAAGAGTTGTACTTGTTCTTGAGATTCATCATTAATATGTGATCAAACCTAAGATTTTATGCTAGAATGGCGAAATTATAATTGCACGTTAGTCTTAGATACATTTCATGGTGTCTGTACGGGTCATGTCTGTACTGGGTATTTCATTCGAGCGGTTTCTATTATTTATTATGAACATTGTGTTCACTGCCTTTTTGTTAGAACAGAATGATTGAACATTGTGAAAGAACATGTTTCCACTTTTCACTTTTTTTTTTACTGAACACAAGCTGAATATTTTTGAGATTTTGTACACATTGATTTTTATTGTACTGTACTTGCATTATTTGTTTATGTGTTAAGTTTGTCCGTTATTACTGTTCTGAATATTGTCTAACTCACATTTCTTTTTTTTACACTACTTTTTTTCAACTTGCCAGTTTTGTAAAATCCAGTTAGTGCTGCAGATCTGTATTTTTTTGTTAAAATTAACTTGAGTATATAATTATGATACTGTTGTGATCCAGTCAAACTTACTATGGCTTACACATGCATTTTCAATAGTTTAAGGATAAGGTTGTCTCCTAATTTTGTTGAACATTCATTTCTTAATGGTAAGGCCTCTGTAATGAGGTGACAGGGTTATTTTATGGGTAATAGAAAATGCAAATTTAGATACAGTCAAGTTTTGCAGATTCATCTCTTTTTAATGTACATGACTATTATATATATAAAATCCTATTACTGCTTATGTACTCTTTGTTAGTTCTGAACTTGTTGCATGTTTTTATTATGTATCTGGCCTGTGGAAATTAAGATAAGGAAGTTACTTGATTTTGTCGAACTATTAATAAAAGTTTAGTTTTGCTTAATGAAAAACATGTCACCTTTTTTTCAAACAACTGAAATCATGTTAATTTTAGTGTTATTACTATAATTATTTGCATGTATTTTTCACAAAGGTTCGCATATAAGCTTAATATTATTGAAGGATAAAAATCATGTTTTACAAATATATTTTTCAATAACATAGCGTTGCTGAAGAAGTGCTCATTTTTTTTAAGCATGAACATTTTTGCTCCGTTTCCTTGTTTAAAAATAAATATGATTGTAATCTCCTAAAGTTGGACATATGTATATGAAAAATTTTAACATCACAAATTTAAGGCTTTAATTATATAAAAAAAATAAAATGATAAAACATAGACAAGTTGTTTTTATGAGTAAGAGGTCAGTTTGGAAAATGAATGGGGAAAATCTGTTTGGGAAAGTTTGTTGGAAAAAGTAAATTCACACTATTTTACACACCCTGAATATTTTTCTGGGAAGTGTTAAATTGCCATTTTGTCCTCACTAAGGATTGACTGTTTGTCAAGTTTAAAGCCTTCATTTAACAAAATCAAATGCCTTGGATAATAGGTTACCTACATCTGTACTCTAGTCTAATAGGATTAAAATTCTGTTGCGCAATATTTGTGGTTTTATATGTAATTTTCCTCACAGGGCGTTTATTGGAATATTTGACCAAAATCTAGGGCATTTGGTGTGTAGTTATATGCATTTATACGATGTAGATAAGTCTTTGAATCACCAGATCAATAGCAAAATTACCATTACTTTTTCTAAGCATAATAATTTAAAGTAAAACATTGTTACATTCTGCTACCCATAACTCTAGCATGGAATTTATCTTTTTATGTATACCCTTTAGTTGTTAAAACCAATAATGTAACATGTTCTGTTAACTCCAGAACACAAAAGTTTTCAAGTCTTGTGTAAAAGGTGTAATGCCCAGGGTTTGAATATATATGTTGCATATTTGAGGGGGCGTTTACAAGTTTTAGCTCGACCATTTCATAAACAGGGAGAGCTTTTGAACTCAACAGGCTTTCTTGTCGCTGTCACACTTTCGTCACGTTTTTGTATGCGTATCTACCTCAAATATTACTTGATACTTCAGAGACACTTGTTCTCTCTGATTATCTTTCATGATGGACACAAGTCCCATAACTTCGAGCTTCCTTTTTGGCGTCCGTCCGTCCGTAAACTTTTGCTTTAAATGACATCTCCTTGTAAACCACTAAGCCAATTTCATCCAAACTTCACAGGAATGTTCCTTTGGTGGTCACCTTTAAAAATTGTTCAAAGAATTTAATTCCATGCAGAACTCTGGTTGCCATGGCAACTGAAAGAAAAAACTTTAAATATCTTCTTTTAAAGAACCCAAAGAGCTAGAGCTTAGATATGTGGCATGAAACATCTTCTAGTGAGTGTCTACCAAGTTTGTTCAAATAAAAGCCCTGGGGTCAAAATTGGCCCCGCCCCAGGGGGTCATTGATTTTCCCTATATGCATATAGTAAAAACTTAAAAAATCTTCTTTTAAAGAAGTAAGAACCAAAAGAGCTAGAGCTTAGATATTTGGCATGAAACATCTTCTAGTGAGTGTCTACCAAGTTTGTTCAAATAAAAGCCCTGGGGTCAAAATTGGCCCGCCCCGGGGGTCATTGAATTTCCTTAAATGTGTATAGCAAAAACTTAAAAAATCTTCTTTGAAAAAACCCAAATAGCTAGAGTTTAGATATTAAGCAAGAAACATCTTCTAGTAAGTGTCTACAAAGTTTGTTCAAATAAAAGCCCTGGGGTCAAAACTGGTTCTTGTACATATATCCCGAAACTACTGATAATATTTCCATTCTATAAGCTATACATAGTACAGCGGTAAAACTTCCATGCCTAGGGCTTAAATATACGGCCTCAGTTCGAAATTTAGGGATTTTATTAACATTCTCGTGTTTTTATGAATCCATCTTATTCTTTATTTACTCAGAAATTCCGACCAATTCCCAAATTTTCCGAGATTTACTTTAATACAGCTTTTTATCACATACCCGTGCCGCTTTTACGATTCCGTATAAATAAATGGTCGTGCATATGTTTTGAGGTGACGTCATTTTCGTTAACTAAACACAGCGTGAAGACGCGCTAATTGTTTACGTTATACTAAACTGTAGGCGTGTAAATGAAAAATAGTTCTTTTTCACTTCAAACGGTCTTCATCTTTGGTATGTGATAAATAGAATATTAAATTCGTGTAAGTTTAATACTGAATTTTTATTGAACTCGTTGAATAAAATAATTATGCTCGTCAGAGGCTCGCGTTATATTTTTATTCAACTTGTCCAACAAATTCAGTAGTAAACTTAATTTCAGTCATTATATCCTCTATTAATGGGGTGGCAATCGATGCAATACTTTTGGTTCTCGGTATATAACTTGCGAATTATAACACTGGCAAACTTATTCTCCACTTGTATTGCAAGACAGAAAATACTATTCTTTAACATTCTCTCAAAGACCTTCTAATGTCAGTTTCAATGCTTTTTTGACGACTGCTTCAGGAACGTCTGCCAGACAATGTTTAAATTACTGCTAAACGCTGTAGCACGTGCCAACACTCTATATGTCGTCTGATTCCGCGCCAAACAAATCTTTTTCCAATAAGCAATGATATAGTAGAAATTTATTTCATTTTACAGAATTTTCGACTATAATTACGCTATAACAGAATGTCACGTGGTACATTGGTCGTCCATTGATTTTTCCTTTCTAACTTATTGTCGTGACATACGGGCAATGTTTATTCAATGCAGACAATACCTAATTATCTGTTAACAATTGGGAGAATAACATATATTCAAATAATAACTCTGGGCTAAGATGCCGTAACATGAAAAATAATATAAAATGATTACATGAAAATAACATAAAATGGTTTGCACTGAATATTTGAAGGGCGGCAACATTCTTATTGTAATTGTTAAAACTGCTATCACATTACGCACGTGCTTGCATTGTGTCTTCCAGAGAATGTCCCTAGAATTCAATTAAGTCTTTAAACAATAATAATTGTCGATTGCAAGGTATCAAAGTACCATGGATTTGAAAACGTTATCTTGGCCGGCGACTTCAGTGGGCGGCAATCAACATGAACATGTATAATTGATGATAATACAGGTGCTCAGCTCTACAACTAAATAGTCTGTTACTCCAGTCAGAATAGCATTCCGATTATATCATTCCTAAAGGTAGTTCATGAATATTTGATAGTGAGTCATCTGCGGTTTTTTCCAGACTGTATTAAAGGATATGCGGGTTACTCACAGAAATAACAGTAAGATTGGTCTCCCTTGATATACATGTAATTAAGTAACCGCACCCATTTTACTTTTGCAGTTTGTTTCTGTATCGTCTGCTACAAACCAGCGGCGACATATATAGATATCACTTTTGCGTCGTCTGATTTTAAGTTTTTTCGCAGGGTCTTTCTATTTGATATTATGAGTTTATGACATTAGCCTTCAAAACGGGTCATCAGTTCGAAATTAAGGGATTTTATTTACATTCTCGTGTGTTATGAATCTATCTTATTCTTTTTACGACCAATTCCCAAATTTGCCGAGATTCACTTTAATTCACATACCCGTGCCGCTTTTACGATTCCATAAAAATGGTATTGCACGGCCGTGCATATATTTTGACTGACGTCATTTTCGTTATCTAAACATAGCGTGAAGACGCGCTAAATGTTTACGTCATACTATACCACTGTAGGCGTGTAAATGAAAAATAGTTCTTTTTCACTTCAAACGGTCTTTATGTTTGGTATGTGATAAATAGAATATTAAATTCGTGTAAGTTTAATGCTGAATTTTATTGAACTCGTTGAATAAAATATGAGCCGTGTCACGACAAAACCAACATAGTGCGTTTGCGACCAGCATGGATCCAGACCAGCCTGCGCATCCGCGCAGTCTGATCAGGATCCATGCTGTTCGCTTACAAACCCTATTACAAGTAGAGAACTGATAGCGAACAGCATGGATCCTGATCAGACTGCGCGGATGCGCAGGCTGGTCTGGATCCATGCTGGTCGCAAACCCATTATGTTGGTTTTGTCGTGACATGGCTCATATTATGCTCGTCAGAGGCTCGCGTAATATTTTTTTTTATTCAACTTGTCCAACAAATTCAGTATTAAACTTACTTTCATTCAATATATCCTCTATTAATGGGGTGGCAATCGATGCAACAATTTTGTTGTCGGTATATAACTTAAATTATAACACTGGTAAACTTATTATCCGCTTGTATTGCAAGACAGAAAATACTATTCTTTAACATTCTCTCAAAGACCTTCTAATGTCAGTTTCAAGGCTTTTTGACGACTGCTTCAGGAACGTCTGCCAGACAATGTGTAAATTACTGCTAAACGCTGTAGCACGTGCCAACACTATGTCGTCTGATTCTGCGCCAAATAAATCTTTTTCCAATAAGCAAATTATAGTAGAAATTTATTTCATTTTGCAGAATTTTCGACTATAATTACGCTATAACAGAATGTCACGTGGTACATTGGTCGTCCATTGATTTTTCCTTGTCGTGACATACGGGCAATGTTTATTCAATGTAGACAATACCTAATTATCTGTTAACAACATATATTCCAATAATAACTCTGTGCAGACGACATCGAGCTAAGACGCGATAACACAAAAAATAATATAAAATGATTATATATGAACATAACATAAAATGATGCCACTTTCAATGGGATTCATCCTGAATATTTGAAGAACGGCAACATTCATCCCAGTCTTTATTGTACATGTAATTGTTAAAACTGCTATCACATTACGCACGTGCTTGAGACATGCATTGTGTCTTCCGGAGAATGTCCCTAAAATTCAATTAAGTCTTTAAACAATAATAATTGTCGATTGTAAGATATCAAAGTACCATGGATATGAAAACGTAATCTTGGCCGTCGATTTTAGTGGGCGGCAATCAGCATGAACATGTATAATTGATGAGAATACAGGTGCTCAGCTCTACAACTAAATAGTCTGTTACTACCGTCAGAATAGCATTCCGATTATATCATTCCTAAAGGTAGTTCATGAATATTTGATAGTGAGTCATCTGCGTTTTTTTCCAGACTGTATTAAAGGATATGCGGGTTACTCACAGATATAACAGTAAGATTGGTCTCCCTTGATATACATGTAATTAAGTAACCGCACCCAATTTACTTTGCAGTTTGTTTCTGTATCGTCTGATTCAAACCAGCGGCGACATATATAGCGATCACTTCTGCGTCGTTTGTCAGTCCGCCTGTCCGCCACAAAACTTGTCCGGACTACTGCTCAAAATCTACTGGTGCAAATTCAAACAAACTACACCAAGGCCTGGTCAGAGTTGCCCTTAAATGATTTTAATTCTTAAGTTTGTCTTGACTAATTCTCTTATACCAGCCGCAATTTGAATATGGATCTTTAGAGGATTGATCGGTTGCTCAAGTATTTTCGCATATTACACGGGTTTTCCGGTTGAACTATTTTTAGCTGAGTTATGACCTGAGTAAAAGTCGTTTTGGCCTGTTAATGATTTTTGTGTTGCCTGCTATATATACAGTAGCTGACAATAAGCTACAAATTAACCACGACGTTATGATCTCATTTTTGTCTTATGTCTGTCTGTCCGCCCTTTTATAATTTTGTCAGAGTTATGGTCCTTTAATTTTAAAAGAAAATGTTTTTGTCAACAGTACTCTTATACTACTACTGAAACTTTATAGGATTGATCGATACCTATAATAGATGGGATATCCAGTTAACTGTTTTGTTTTGCTGATTCATGGCCTTGAATAAAAAGTGTTTTAGCCTGTTAATGCTTTTGTGTGTCGTCTGCTGCACAATAGCTATGTTACAAAGTGGCTGCGACATATAGGGAACAAGCTGGTCAGTAACCACTCTATACAACTGCTTTATTGGCTATCATCAGGCGACACATATGATCACTGATCGCGTTTGTTATTTTACTGGTATAACTTGTTGTTAAAGTCCCCAGTATTCCCTCGCATTAAACTTACTCGTATTATGAAACGCAGAAGGCAAACTAGCTATAATGATCCGACCAACATTCTTTTCATTTGTACTACATAAGCTATTTAGCGCTTTCAAGAAAACTGTTTTAAAATGACAAAAAAAAAATGTGTTTAAAGATGATAAAAAAAACCCTATGTCACTGAACTCGACATCATTTCAAAACTTGTAAAAAATGATAAAAAGTATTAACAAGTATCTTTATTTCATATTAAAAAAAAAAAATAAAAAAAAATAGGTACGATGTATTTCTTTACACGTCTCTTGTCCTTCGACACTTAAATGCATGCATTGCCACTCAGAACTTTATAAATCTAAATATATTTGCAGTGAACAACACATTTTTTGGACAGTGTATTAAATGCTTAGATAATCCCTTTATCACGGGGACATAGGATAATCCATACTTGACACAGACGAATTCTGGGAACTTCTGGAATAGGACCGTTTCCTGAAAGGACTTGCGAAAAATGACCTCGGAGTAACAGCTGCGCTGTTGTAACCGGAACTGAACGCGCCGTTCGACATCGGAGAACATGGTCTTCCTTCAAGATCTGTGTTGATACCAGGTAACTGACTGATGAAAATCACCATTTTTCGATGACTTTTTATTTTTAAGTCGGAGCAATAGTAACCCATGATAGACCAAGGCATTACCGTTGACGTAATTTCGTACCGGAACTGCGGAGATGCGCACGCAATCGTTTTCTCCAGAAGATACAATATCCCAGGGAGCACCTGTGTCGCGTTCAGTGATTTCAATGATACAAGAGAACAGTTTCCGTTTTCACAACAATGGAGGGAAACAAATATTCTAAGTAAATCCTGTAGATCTTGCTCGTTTTCACATTTAGCAATGAAAGTTGACAGAGAGTCATACGTTTGAAACATGTCCTTGCACACCATTGGACACTCGGTGTGAGTAATGTCCTTTATGTTGACATGGTTTGTCGCAAGATCTAAAGCATGCTTGACTTTGGCATGTAAACGTTCGAAGATTAGCCAGACAAGATATGTTCTCAGCGACCAGACGAAAAGTCCCGCCATTGTTTCCCGCCATGTTGCCCCCACATACCGGCAAGGTAGACTCGAACTGACATCTCGAACCGCAGTTATTGTTGGTCGTTTTCTGCAATAATTGTTTACAGGAACGATTTTACACATCGGCCATGGGTCTTCTTCCAGCATGAACTCGACTTCATGACGCCATTTCCGGCCTGCGTAGTTGAAACAAACGCGCAGATAGTATATTTCGAATCCATCGTCTTGTTTATCGGGATCTTTGACCATATACACTGGCCCGCCTGGTTTAAAGATATCATATTTTTCGAATTCCTCGTGTACTGTCTTCGTAATTAACAGTCTTGAAACAGATTTGTCTTCTGCTGGATAATCTAAAACCTCTAGAAAATAAATATTCATCTTTGAGAATATATCTTCCTTCTCGTCATGTGAGAGAGGAATGGCTAGTTTAATGTTACCGAGAGACGTCTGTTCCTCGGGACCGAGTCGTTCCTCCAAGTCAGGTTTAAACCATAGTCCACGTATCATGTGATAATCTCTCAACACGGTGTAATCGTCTGTCGCTTGTAACGTTGTGCTTTGGTTTGCAAATATCGGAACGGCATCATCAAACGTAAGTATGCTTGTGACGCAATCAAATTGTGTGTAGAACGTTTGTAAGACCGGCGAGAGCTGACCGGAAGTATCAATTGTCCCGGAAATGAGATAGTACTGTCGAGCATCATGGGAAGGTCGCCACAAGGTGAGTGTGTCATCCATTAGAAATATATCTTTAATCTTCAGAAGTGGAGGAACCCGTCTAACCTCCTGAAAATATGAAATAAAACAATGTACACGGAATATTTACATGTATAAACATGTTCACGTGATACCCGTAACTTATGTCTTAATTAAGTGATATGTTACTTGTATATGACACCTGAAATGTTATAAATGTATTTATGTAGCATACCAAAATATATATGCATAAATATGTGTTATTTGAAGATAAAAATATAAGCTGAGAGTAAACATCTAAAACATATCCTACATATAAAGATAATTGAGAATATCTAATGATGTACACGAATCTTGTATTTTATCAGTCATTTAATTAAAGTTAGAAACACACCTAATACCAAAAGAATTCTATTTTTATTTATTATTTCCCGTTTGTACATTTGGAGATTGTGAAAATATCACGATTCTGTCGAGCAAAACACATACATGTATTTAACATTTTCTTAAGAAAGTATTTCGAAAGTTATAGAAGGATTGTTAATTTTGAAAGGTAACAAATTAAAGAAATACTTAGAATATATGTAAAGCATCAGTTACAGAAATGTAGAGAATAGATCTAAATAAAATTATTATCTCAAGATATTTTGAGAATCCTGACTTATTTTCAAATTACGATTTCCTAAATTCGTGTGCTTTGTATAAAATCATTTTTTTTATTTGAAAATAACAACCTGGCACCCGGCCGACCTGTGGAATGCAGGCACGTGTATATCAATTGAGGAACTAGCAACTCGTCGCCCTAATTCCATAATGATGTAAGTCGTATTTTACCATTTTGAGAAAATCGACTTCAAAGTTTTAACAGGCTATATCTTCACACTAACTCAACCAATTTTAATATAAAATATATCATAGTATGCAGAATTATTTTAACTTTTACACTTTTAATTACGAAGAAGTTCCTGTAGATAGTTTTTTTGAAAATCAAAATAAAAAAAATGAAAAATCACTGAAAAATAAATTTTATTGACAAAAATACAAGAACCAGAATGCTGTATTCAGTTACAGCAATGTGACCCTAAAATATCATTACATTTAGGAGTTATAACAGTGTGAAATAACGACTTTTGAACTGTTTTATACTGAAATTATATTAAATTTAGAGGTAACTAGAAATTGAATTCTTTAACGAATAGTCTGAATCCACATTTATTTAGGCACCACAGAGCATGGAATGTGATCAGAATCAAAACAGTAAATTTAGTCTTAAAAGTCAATAATAGAAATCCAAACAATGCGGCGAAGTGTGAATAGCCATGAACAGGCAATTTAAGGTTGAAATAGATCTCGGGCTTCATTATCTTATCACCATTTACATGAAATAGTGAGCCTTGCAAATGAACAAAAAAAATAAGATGTTACTGATTTTGTAAATGTATCACATTGAGGTAAACAAAACGAAACAAAATTTAGAAACATCGTCCTTGTATTGATATTTACAACGTAAAATAGCAAACTTTTTATCATATGATATGCTATTTTTACAATAAGACTGTACAATATAAAATATTTGGAATTCAGATTTACTTTTGGTTTCGTTTATTATATCATTAATTCAAACCAAATTCAATTCTGAATACCTGTAGCTTGCAGACAAACAGCATGTTGAACATAATTTGACTTACAAAACACACAAAAATGTTTGAAAGATGTAACTGCTTAAGCTTTGAAAAACAACATCAACAATGAGTTTCCTTTCTCTGTAACATAAAAAAGAATAAACCTATGTATTTTACTTTTCTAAGAACAGCATTACTTGATGTTTTGTTTTAAAAAAAATGAAAAAATATGAGACACAACTCAAAGCTCACAAATGTTCAAAGATGCTACAGATCTGGATACGGTGTTTCAATGAACTACTGTGGCTTCAATTACTACATGTATTTATATATAAATTAAGTGGCATACAACTTCTTTACATACAATAACAATTAAGTATACGTTTGCATTTAATGTTTTTATCTGAACTGTTAACATCAATAACTCATTCGTATAAAAACAATGCTCAATATCTAAGAGTTTGAGACAAATATTAATTCTATTTTACCTCAACAAACGTTTGATGAAACAAATATGACAATTTAAAGAGTTCTTAATGTTTTATATGGTCTTAAGACTTTGTAACATTTCTTCACAAAATCATTCTTTTTTACGTTTCAATCGAATGAAAATTTTTTACCACACATTTTTTTCTTTTTAAAAAATAGTTTTCGTAATGGATAATTTTCAGTTCATTGGTTCAAATCACTTGATAATTACAGGTAGTATTACCTTACGAGTTGGAAGTAGATGTACAAGAATTATTTTTAACTTAGAAACTTAGATTAATTTTGCTTTGCATGTTCCAATTACATAATAAATTTCAGCATAAGATTGAACATGATTATGTTGACAAAAAGGTATAGACTGACACCCTGTTGATTTATGCAAAATAGCTGAGAAGGTGGCATTTTGTTTAATAAGTATTTATTGTGCAAATGACGTCTCTTATTCAACGCTAAATGGTGCATCTGAGACACCTCTCAGCTTTTAAACTTTTTTTTATAGGGATATTGTCAACTTTAACCCACCATATAGCCTTTGACGTTTGGATGTACTGTTTTAAGAACACAAACGAGTGATGTAGGACTGAACATTTTAAAAGTGTTTTGTCTTTCTTTCTATATGATAGTGGGTATTGTTAACCAGTCTAGATTTCATAATGCCTTGGACAGCAAAAACTTTTCATATTTTTGTGATCGTAAATTTCAGCATAAGATTGAACATGATTATGTTGACGAAAAGGTATAGACTGACACCCTGTTGATTTATGCAAAATAGCTGAGAAGGTGGCATTTTGTTTAATAAGTTTTTTGTTGTGCAAATGACGTCTCTTATTCAACGCTAAATGGTGCATCTGAGACACCTCTCAGCTTTTAAACTTTTGTTATAGGGATATTGTCAACTTTAACCCACCAATATAGCCTTTGACGTTTGGATGTACTGTTTTAAGAACACAAACGAGTGATGTAGGACTGAACATTTTAAAAGTGTTTTGTCTTTCTTTCTATATGATAGTGGGTATTGTTAACCAGTCTAGATTTCATAATGCCTTGGACAGCAAAACTTTTCATATTTTTGTGATCGTTATATGAAAGTGCATTATTTTGAAATTATGAAAATAATGAAATTATGAGTTATGAAATAATCATGAAGTAAACACCACCTAATTTAACATCAGTTATGAGTTGTTAAGTTATATGTGTAAATTTTATTAGAATCACTTAGCACCAGTACGGTAATTTGTCTTATATAGTTAAAGTCAAAATGTAACAATGGCAGTAGTATGTTTCCCATTTGATAAGTTTTGTTTGTAAGTTAAAAGTATAAACAATCTAATGCAAAACCTAATTGTACGTATTTAATCTGAATATGTACAAGTTAGCATTGATCAATCAATCATATAATCATTCACATATCAAGTTATGAACAGCTGATACTTGTGAATATTGAAAGTTTGTATCATTTTATCCGATTTCCATGCTATCCGAATTTCATAACACAGCATGGTGCTTTGAATTTAGCTAAAGTGTAAAGAGTAGTTATTATTTATTTTTAAGGTTTGAAACAGTTCATTAAAATATTAAGCTATAGATAACTAGATAACATCTAAAGCAAAACACTTACATGTTATCAAGAAATATAAAACGTAAAATGTCATTCCCGATACCTTGAAAAATCTGCCATTTTGTCAATACAGCATCACGTGACTAGAATCTCAACAAACTATTGGTTCAGAAGTTACGATATTATGGACTGTATTTTTATCACAATTTTTGGACTTACAGCACTCTGACCCATTCAATATATTGTTACAGGCATGAACCAGAGTGATGTTGTTCTTACCATTAGATAGAGCAAAAAATTACGAACATTTTGATACCAAACACTCATTTTTTTCAAAATTGGAGTTACGACACTCTGGAATTAGGGCGACGAACTGTTTCAAAGATGTTCAAAGGAATCATTTTAACATTTAATTCACTAGAAATTTCTGTCTAATTTTAGCGATTTTACGATTTTTTTCGTAAAATACTTTATTTAGACCTAGATCTTTGTAAAAAGTCTTTAGTGAAATCCAAGGAGACTTTATATGTCTTCACCTTAAGTTAGGGAAGGCCCCTAGATACTGTTTGTATATCTTTTGGTCAAACCTTTTTGTATATATATTGTATTGAATGCTTAAGATAATGATGTTATTTTTTTTTTAAATTTTTATGCACAAATATACAATGAAATATTATTTTACTATACATGTAGTAGGCCTGCCTACCAATTACATGTACATATGATAAGTTCAATTTCTGTACAGTATGTTGCATTGGAGAATTAGTAGAAACTTTGTAATGGGAGGTAACTTCATAAAATTGTGAGAAAGACTCAAAATTCATTTACCTCCCTTCTGCTAAGATGTCGCAAGCATATGTTCATAAATATTTATGAATTCCAAAATCAACTTAAATAGTCAACTGCATTTTTTTATTAAAATTTCCCTTTAATCGTAGCTTAAATGAACGTTAGATTTGTCACATCATATTAACATATACAGTATTATGTCAACTGACGGTGTTCAAGGAGTAAAGTAGACTACTAGTTAGCTAGTAAAGTTTATCTCCCTTGGCTCACACCATTTATTCACAATACTCTTAACTTAATTAAATGAATTAACATAATCATTATTGATTGTGTCAAAAGAATATGTATACCGTAAATTTTATGTGCCTAATCGATATTTGCAATGCTTTGTATATAGTTAATTTCTTTCACCAATTATTTCATGTCTCCGGTGTGGTCTAGTGGTTAGGATTCCTGGTTTTCACCCAGGCGGCCCGGGTTCGATTCCCGGCACCGGAACACTTATTTTGGTCATTGCTGTTTTTTTTTTCACCACAGCATGGTCCTGTGTTCGCTGTAATTTCGACAATATCTTTTTTCTTTTGCAAAAAAATTGTTTGAATCATTATTTACTTCATTTTTTTATAATCATTTATTTCTTCCTATATTATCGTACAATTTAGGACCTTACATTGGTTTAATTATAACTTAGAAAGGAAAACAGACACTCAAGTCACACGAAGGAAAAACTATATTCTCAAAATTCATACACGTCATAAATAACTAACTGTCAAAACTAAAAATAAATAAATAGATTTACATAATATAACAAGAAAATTATAATAATAAAAAAAAGAAAAAAAAAAGTAATAAATCAATAACAGGAGCAAAAAGCGTGTCTTTCTTTTTACCATAATATGCTACTAAAGAAGAAATCTCCTCGGATAGTTTTATATGTTACAGAAACTGTTACAACGACCTTGACACTGATGAACATGTTACAATTGAGTTGGTAAGAAAATAATTGCTTGTGTTCATGATAAATTAGAGTGACAAAAGTGAGTATTATTGTCCCAAAAGGGCGACATAAGCTTAAAAATATCACATAAACATGGACATAGTAAATTTGGTATCACACGTGTTTGGTACAAAGACATGTACATTGTATATTCCTTTGCTGACCGGAAGCATTATAATTGTTCATTTTGAGTATCACATTCACTGCCAGATGTCTCCTCAAATAATATTTTGTGTACATCCTCTTCCGAGATTTCATCCGACACACTAACTATTGATGACTTTGATTTCAAGTAAGCTACTCTGTTGTACGCATGCTCTGTGAACTCAAGAAGTCTTAACTCTGTTGCGAGGTCATGGGCGATTTGCGCATGCTCTAAGGCACGCACGGGATTTCCGCGTCTGAACTGGTAATCACATTTAGCCAGACGAAAATGCATGTCGAGGATTTTTGAGATAACTATATCCGAATCTTCCAAATGGTTCAGATACTGGCCAGCAGATCGAATGTTGTCTTCAGAGGGAGTTAGGGTTTCCATTGTCAGTCCATTGTCTCCACAGCGTAACAACAAAATTACCAGTCTGCACAAAGCGTAGCCGAAACCAAACGGCCCGTCTTTCCCGCCATCTCTTTTAAAATTTGTCATCGACCTCTGAAAGCTTGACTTAGCGCCGTCGTATAAACGCTCGTATACTTGACAAGCGTTCGGACTTCTGAGATTCAAGCATGAGAGTTGAGCTGTTTTGTTGCGAGCGTCATTGATGTACAACCACCCAGCTGCCCTGCCAGTACAGCCGACAGGGTCAGTTTCTAGAATCATCATCGCTTCATCAAGTGTCGTCTGTAGTTTCTCTAACTTTTTACGAGTAATGTACATGCGTGTTTTGGCGGTGAACAGTTCGAGCATAAAGTAGCGAGGGTTACTCGTTCTGGGAAGTAGTGCCATTGTTTCATCTATTCGAGTTTTTGCAGAGTCAAAATTTGTTTGGAACAAATCTCGACTTGTTTGAAGGTACCCAATTATGCACATCAAATCGTAATTGAAAGGAAAGTTTGTTTGAAGCCTCAAAGAAATGTCTTCGAATTTCGTGAAATCTCCTTGGTTAATTAGCGTGCTCAAGTAATTGAATGCTACAGCCAGTCGTCTGCTTGGTTGTTGACTTTGGATTGCCGTCATCTGCATTGGTACTATTTCTTTTCTGTCCTTCGTTTGATTATGAGTAACTTGTTTTGACATTTCCGTTTCCAAACGATTACAGATCTTCACTTTCTTTTTCTGCTTTCTTTTCGAAACGATGGATTTCGTAGTATTACATTTTTCAAAATCCTCAGTATTTCCTGCTCCAGGGTTTTCATTTGAGTGAACATTATCAGCTTTCACCAAATCGTATGAAGAACGTTCTTTCCATTTGTCTTTTTTCCCGCGATCTTTTTTACCCACTGATGATAAAACCTGCTTTGCGGGAGCAACAACTACAGCGCCGTCCACAGTATTCAGACCAAATTCTCTTGATTCATCTTTTATTTTAATGTCGCCAGTTGTCAATACCGGTTCTTTCACAGGCGTCTCCTGATCAATTTCAAAAGACGAAATTTTAAGCGCTGCCATGGCTACGTCACTTCCGTTTATACACGGACCTCTGATTATACCTGAACCTTTGTCATCATCATGCCTTACATCTTTATTTTCAGATTGTGTCCTTGTATAAAATCTGTGTTCTTCAACATTGTTTTCATCTGAATGTTTTGTTATATTTTCGACAATGTACGAATACTTTTTTACCAGTGACAGCTTAAGGCTCTCGAATACACTTTCAGCTTCTGTATGGAGTAAAATTTGAAACAATTTTTCGCAACGGCTTCTTCGTGTTGTTTCTGTGACAACCACGTCAATGTCGTCTGCTGTTATCACGTGATCTTGGAAAAGTTGATCAATAACATCTTTCGGTTCAATATTATCTAACAAAAGACAACAGTTTTCACCAGTGACCTTCAAAAGGATGTTATTTAGACGAGTTCCATCAGACTTCATATTTTCAATAAATGTCCAACATTTTTGACACATTTTTGTTTGAAAAGCGGTGTCAACATGAGTTTTGACTTCAGTGTTTTCACGTGGTTCTTGTAATTCCGTACCTAGCTTATCTGCAAGGAATTCATACTGTCCATTTTTTAATGCTTTTTGAAAAGACCCATATGCTATGGGCCCTCTGGTGGGTAAAATGGACAGAAGCATTTGACATCGTTCTTTCCTCGTGGAAGCAGACGCCACTAATTCAATATCATTTTCAGTGAGGATTCCATCTTCATATAGGGTGTCAAGAACTTTTCCTCTTGGTTCAAGATCATTCACAATGTCAACACGGTTTTCCCGTAACGTTTTAGTATGAATATTGTCCATCTTTAAACTTAACTTCTACTGTTTAAATAAATTTCTTCCCTACCAAGATAAATCTGTAAAAAGAAAAGAGCTTAAAGTCAACAGGTTGTATTTGATTAATTTATTTTAGAACAAAAATGTTTTAAAATAATATGAACGTTTACATTTTCCAGATAAATAACACCATAATATTATGAACTTGTTTAATAAATAGCCTTTAAAGTTATAAAAAAAGTATGTACATACAAATAAAATAAAGATAAACTTACCTTTTGTTTACACTTTTACACAACTCCTTTCAATATCATTCGCTAACACACTGTTATAAGTTATGATTAGCGAGAAGTAATTACGAAAACAATTTTAGGAAAACCCAAATTGAGAATTCGGAAATATTCCGGAAGCTATGATACATAGCACTTGCTAAAAATAAACATTGCGTTTTTGACAGACGATATTTACTACAAATAAAACCAAATCGTCACGGTTTTGCACATCGTACAGTATTTTATAAACCAAACATGATTTTTTTTGCAGACGACAAAGTGTCACGTGTCGCTTAATCAGAATGTTTTAGTACGTGTATGACAAACCTTTTTTCAACGGCCACTCCCACGTATATCGAAAGGCCACCTTTATTAATTGTAAAATGGGGGCTGTTAATCAAGTTTATTTTTCGCCGTTTATTAAACATGTAATTATTACAATAAACCCTTAAAGGTTGTATTGGGCACACTTTGTTACCCATCGTTTAGTATTTAAAATGTCATTTAATTAAAGCAAGTGGCGAAATGAAATGAAGTGTTCCGAGTATTGATACGGATTTAATCGTATTAAAGAATAAAATAATGGGGTTTCAAACAGTATAATGAAAATCGATCGAAGCCCTTTTTAGCTCACCTGTCACAAAGTGACAGGGTGAGCTTTTGTGATCGCTTTTCGTCCGGCGTCCGTCCGTCGTCCGCCCGTCCGTAAAAATTTACTTTAAATGACATATCCTCATAAACCACTAAGCCAATTTCATCCAAACTTCACATGAATGTTCCTTTGGTGGTCACCTTTAAAAATTGTTCAAAGAATTTAATCCTATGCAGAAATCTGGTTGCCATGGCAACCGAAAGAAAAAACTTTAAATATCTTCTTTTAAAAAAACCAAAGAGCTAGAGCTTAGATATTTAGCATGGAACATCTTCTAATGAGTGTCTACTAAGTTTGTTAAATAAAAGCCCTGGGGTCAAAATTCGCCCGCCCCAGGGGGTCATTGATTTTCCCTATATGCATATAGTAAAAACTTAAAAAATCTTCTCTTAAAGAACTCAAAGAGCTAGAGCTAAGATATTTAGCATGAAACATGTTCAAATGGTTGTCTACCAAGTTTGTTCAAATAAAAGCCCTGGGGTCAAAATTGGCCCCGCCCCGGGGGTCATTGATTTTCCTTATATGTGTATAGCAAAAACATAAAAAATCTTCTTTGAAAAAACCCAAATAGCTAGAGCTTAGATTTTAAGCATGAAACATGCATTAGTGAGTGTCTACAAAGTTTGTGTTCAAATAAAAGCCATGGAGTCAAAATTGGCCCCGCCCCAGGGGTCATTGATTTCCCTTATATGTGTATAGTAAAAACTTTAAAATCTTCTTTGAAAAAACCCAAATAGTTAGAGTTTAGATATTAAGCATGAAACATCTTCTAGTAAGTGTCTACAAAGTTTGATCAAATAAAAGCCCTGGGGTCAAAACTGGCCCCGTCCCAGGGGTGTCATTGTTTTTAACTATATGTGTATCTTCTTACAAAACCCAATGAGCTAGAGCTTAGATGTTTAGCATGAAACATCTTCTAATTGGTGTCTACCAAGTTTGTTCAAATAAAAGCCCTGGGGTTTCAAATGGCCCCGCTCCGGGTGAGCGACCTTAGGGCCATCATGACCCTCTTGTTTTATATCCATCTGATATTTGAGCCGCGTCATGACAAAACCAACGGAATGCGTTTGCGACCAGGCTGGTCTGGATCCATGCTGGTCGCAAACGCACTATGTTGGTTTTGTCCTGACGCGGCTCAAATGTAGAACCACTTTAAACGTTGGTGTAAATAACATACATGTATTACAATGGCAAGAAATTCAATTTAGACATTACAGACCACCTGTGGACAAAAACCATCTTTTGCAATTTAGTAAAAGTTTATTTTTTTAACAAGACTTAACGATATTTCATTACAATTTCATGTATTGCATGTATTATATTTTTACAAATTAACTGTGTCAACATATCTAACGTTACTATCACGTTCATACATTTTATTATCAATTACTTTATCAGTGTTACTGATACCGCAAGTAGAAATCGGTAATAAGAAGAGGACCAGTACGATGACGTCATAGATGTAGGCAATATTACGAGGAATGTTCAGAAAATACATAGACTTTTGTTCTAATTCTGACGTTTTTTTAAAAGTTATTTAAAAAACAACACTGTTAGATTTTGCAGTTTTTTACATCAAATAAGCAAACAAATAACAAGAACTACATGTAAATGAAGAATTAAAACATACATCTATACATGTATATAATACACCGGCGCACGGTGGACGTCAATTTAATGCGACGTCAAAATACTCGGATATGCAAAATGTTCTTAAATGTTATCAGTTTAGGCGATATAAACCGAAAACACCGGCAAAGTTTAAGATATGTTTGAAGGAGACTTAATCAAAAATTTAAAAAATGACTTCAAAGGGGGACGGCTTCATTAATCTTATTATGAAGCACGCTTGATTATGTTAGATTTTATAAATCAAATTTACAATCTAATCGAAGGATTAATTTTTAATGCCTTTTAACTTTCAATGGTTTTCTATTAATTTCTCCTTAAAATTTTCTTTAAGCGGTTTTGTTTATTTAAGATATATTTATTCCGTGGGAATGTATATCAAACAATTATATAGTATAGTTTGTAATCTTTGATTGACGGGGAATTGCAGGCTCTGTGGATAAAATGGGCTTTTTGTCAAAGACTGGCGTCATGGAAAAAATGAAAAGAATTCTTGTCGCAGACAGAGACAAAACCCTGATTATTTAATATGTTTCTAGATATTGCATACGCATGACTCCGTTGTTACCAAGATTGTATAGGTCTGACATCACTAAATATTTCTAGCATAATTATATTCATATTCAGTAACATCTGAAATATTATATATAAAAAGTGTTGTTTTAAATATGTTTAATGATGTAAAAAGACCGCTCTTTTTTACAAATTGTATGAACTATAAATAGATATTTTTGAATGTATAACATGCAAGACAAGAGTTTTTACATTCTTTTAAATGAAACAACTATTTTACATCGTGTGTAAGTCTATATAAAAATAGATCGTCGTCTGTTTTATTTTCCATAAGCGCGTTACTTCTTTTTTTCCAGTACAAATGTATATATTTAAGTAGAATCAACAAATACCTGGTCAGGTAAGAACAAATAATTAAGATCTACATAAGATGTACATAAAATAAAGTAAAATAATAATACAGATTTTAGAAAATGCAAGTAGTACGAATATGCACTCGATTGATTTATTCAGAAAATTTAACAATTTATATATTAATCGATCTTGTTTAATTGCCGTAAAATAAAGGAAATGCTACGATCAATATTAGTTTATCAAATATTTATCTTTGATATCTGCACCGATCATTTGTTTAATCTAATTATTATGTTAATTTAGATACAATATAGCGATTAAACACAGCGTTCGAATATACATGTAATTATGTCAATACTAAAAACTTACAAATGGACCAAAGTTTGCTTTTAAATTAGAAAAAAAACTAACTATATATTTTTTGATTGCTTCATATGTGTAATTGCATTTTGTTTTTGAATTTGCAGATGTTAATAGAAACACATGTATATAGATACATGTACATAAATTTGTTGTGATAAGCCAGTTGCCACATGCCAAAGTTCAAGCATCTTTGTACGATAGAATCATGTAGACTGCGCGCAAATGTATGCCGGTTGGCAAATGTATGCCAGTTGGCAAATGAATGCCGGTTGGCTCTCTTTTACATGTTCTTACTACCTTTAAAACTCTAAATGTTTCTGAACAGTGAGAATACGATAAGGAAAGCAATTAGAACAGTGATCGAACGTGAAATGTTTCAAGAATAAAAGCATACATGTATGTCATTATTATGTTGCGGTTCGGATCGGAATATCCGCAAGAGGCTTGTCGAGTTGCCGCCCATGGGGCACAACAATGTGCAAATTACGTCATCATATATAAGCACGCATTCCAATCTTAAATACACGCCCAATGACAGATGATTTTCCGACACGAGGAAAGCTAACTTGTAATAATTATGCAAGAACAGTTGATCGCGACTGGGATATACGATAACGTATGTCCCAGATCGCGACGATGAATCCAAAGTTAACTATCATTTCTTCGAATCTTGTTTGAATTCGTTTTCATTTTTGTGAGAATGGTTGAAGAAAAAACAATCGGTCATTGTATTGTTTGTCGCCGTAAATACTGCATTTCAGCGGTATTCATACACTCGCACTGTTGATCACTTTTACATGTATCCACCGACACCAAACCGTGACAGAACCGCCACGAGAGGGTCTTGGTTATTTGTCAAATATCACGGAAATGCCCGAGTGTCATTACATGTTCGTTACATATGATAAAATAAGATTTGTCGACATTATCGCTGATTGTATTTAAAATCAGTCTACTCAGTCTGATACTATTCCAGCTTATCGTACAATAATGATATATTTGCGTGTTATATTAAACAATATGTCAACCATTTCTTACGTAAAGTGTAATAGTCTGCCAAATCAAATAACCTAAATCTATAAACAGCCGGATCAGCGTAATCAATAAGTACAAAAAATGATCAACATGCAACGAATGGTGATACAAGATTTTTCTGCAGCCGAATTGTAAAATCCAAATCCCTGTGAGTTTTGTCTACATGACTAGGTCAACACTGGACGCCAATAGAATAATCACATAAGATGATATTTGACATCATTGAAATGTACGGTACATGTTTTGAAAATCAAATTTTGGTGGTTACGAACATTTTTATGTTTGAATGAATGAACAAGTATACGAAAATATTATATCATTATAAGACTTGACATAGTTATTAAAAAAAGTAATATGCCTTTTCTATCATTTTGGTTTATATCTAAAGAATACTATAGTTAACAGCAGGAAGGACCTTCAGTAAACACTGAGTTAATATAACATCCCATGGGTAGGTATAAAGCAGACGATAGGTGTTAACAGGTGGTCGGTCAGCGCAGGTCATTATATCTGGTATATCTTGAACTAATTCTTACTAAGCCGGACAGATTTTAAAGTGCTAGTTGCAATAAGAAATGAATATAGAGTTGTAGGAATTCAATCTATGAAACTTGCGCCACTGAACCGACTTCCGGTTATGCCGTGATAAAAAGTAGTTCCAATCAGTTCCTGTCATAACCCAATCCTTTGTTAGGATAAGATTTTAAGCAAGTATTGCACTATATTAATATATGGAAAAAAAATCACATCGTAAGCTATTACTCAAAGTCTATATTAAATCACCTCCATAGATTATCGGAATTTTAATGAACGAAAAAATTCAATATGGTATCATATTTTTACTTCAATTTTAAGATATTAAATGGTTTAACATTATATCTTTATTAAAGCCCGTGCATTAAAATATGAGATATAAGAGCCCGCGGAACATTCCTTTATAAAATAAGAATGCCTCTTGAAAATTAATACCAGTTTATAAGGATATCAGGCTTTCCGTAAATGAAATGCTCATTCTTTCCATACTGCATGTAGTCACAACGAACAAAAGTTACTGTCATAAATAAATATGAACTTACTTAATTATAAAAAAAATATATATGGGGCAGTTAAAGTATTAAAGTATATCGTGTAAGGAGGTTTAATTTACAAACGGAACAATGGTAACAAAGTTAAAAAACACGAAAATGCGAGGTTGCGTTTGATGTAGAATATACAATTTTACGTCACGTAACGTGAACGTCTGAACGGAGACGTCTAGACGAATATTTACGCTGTATCAACGTTGTAGTGCCCTATTCTAGCCGTGTACATGTATATTTAATATGAGTGATCAATTATTCTTACACACGATCATTCGCTCTCTCCGTATTTCTAGAATAATTATTCTTTTTGTGAAAAATGAAAAAAAAGAAAAGCGTTGCAACGCTTTTTACTCGAATCGGGCTAAGAGTAGCATAAAATATGATTTTCTATTTATTTATGAGTACATTTCTTAATTATCCCTTACTGTTTTAAATGCCCCAGCTGATCTATTTATGAAATTCAAGTTTTATGCTTTTGCATCTCAGTCGTGTCTTCCTTTATATTTAAGAACTATTCTTATCTTATTTTCTTAAAAAAACCGAAAAAAAAGAGAAAACAACTTCTTTTCGAGTCATCAGTATATAATAATGTCAGCATAATGCCCATAATAAGGTTATCCGTGTATAACTTTAAACAACTTTTCTTTAAAGTTATTAGATCTAATAAATGAAATATTCAGGTCAATTTCTGACACAACGTGCATGGGCACGGGTTCATTACTTTTATTTTATTTACAGGCAGAGAACATTTCACAAAAAAGATAAAAATATTAAAAACAAAAACGTAAATGGGCTCTAAAATCAGCTAATGCGCACGCCGCACACATACATCGTACATCAAATGATATATGAAAACAGTGTACACTGAATTCAAAAACATTTAACTTTTAAATATAATGTCATAATAAAATTTCAATAATCAGATTTCTTGCTTAGTTTGCTGTTGGCACCAGTTTCTACTAAAATGATGAATGGTTTAGTCCAGATTGAAAGATAGGCAAGTTCATTTAAGAAATTGAGGGTGGTAAGGGTCAAATTTTAACCAGTTCACGGCGAGCTAAGTGCGTTTACAACAAAACTCAAGAAATAAAAACCCATTATTAAAACACGAAACACAAACTAGTCCATTGACATAAATTACAAAAAATATAATCAATTATGTCATTGTTTATTTATTATGCCAGACCTTGACAAAGAGTAATGGTTGTAAGGAAACTATTTATACTTTATAATAGCTCGATTTGACAGACAATAGTTCTATCCATTTAGATATATATATTAGTATATATATAAATCCATTCATGACAAAGTTGTACAAACGGAATAACAATATACAATGTGATTATGATAAATAAAAATGTAAAGATAATTAGCAAATTATATAAATAAATAAAAATATAATAAATTAAAAAATAAAAAAAATAAAAAGAGCATTCATACCGAATCAGCCTCCATATTTAATGAGCAATCCCAAACACGTCCACGTTTTTTTCTTTTATTTTATTTTCTTCTCTCTTCAATTTGCCAATGCACACTACCCCATTATATGTATAAAATATTAAATTTCTTTAAACTAAATTCCGCGGATAGTTTGCTCTATTGTCTTTATGTGCCTAAATAGTGGCTCGTTGAATTTTGGCACCCACTCACGCCCTTATTAACGCCAGACTGCTTGCCAAATTTTAGTCAAACTACCGGAGTGCTCGACCGTGATTTAATATTTTAACTGCTCGAAATTTGGCAGCGTAAAGCCTTTAAACTAATTTGTACAATAGACTAAATGTTTGATCACCATTTGTTGACATAAACTATGCACCTGTAAAATATACTATACATATTAAGCATTATCTTATATATGAGAGCGGTATATAGATTGTATGTTTTGTATTAATTATTTAGAAATCAAACAAACTTAAATACTTTCAGCCTGAGGGAGTGAAACTTCAGTTGGTAAACTTTATGTTTGTCTAAATTTAAAGTTTATTTTCCCTAGGTCATTTGAGATCATGACCGCAAATTTATAGTTCGGTAAAATTAGGCAACCTGTATCGCATTAAGGTAAAGTTAGTATAGGCTGTTAATATTATTTATGTATATGCATTTTGGACGCACTATTTTAAATACAGTATTTAAATTCAACTTTTATATCAGGTCGTTCGAATATACTAAAACTTAGCCTACCCTAATTGTTGCCCCGGTATCGTCGGCATCCATATTTCCAGTTGATATTTCAGTTACGGAAACTGCCTGTCAGTATTTTTTAATCCATTTTTGTTTCTTTGAATGGAATAACTTCACGAAATTGTATTTTAAGATTCTTCATTTGAAAACGACTATGTATTATTACTCACCCGACACTTTTTGTTGTACTGATGCTGGCACAGGTTCGAAATAAACATGACCCGTTGTAGATTGTAGATGGCAACTTTTAAGTGATACAGTTTAAAGTCCCATTATTCCCCAGAAATGCTTTTATATTTATTTCTTAAAGACTTTTTATTATTGGTGTCTTGTTATTGTTTTCAAAAAGTTACCCTTGGCTATATATATTTACCTTAATCTGTAGCTTTTTAGCAATTATAAAAAATAATTACAGTTGTAGTTATAATTACATTTGTAGTAATAATTTTGTATGGGAATCTGGTTGTTTACATTGGCCACTTTAAGGACAACTAATTTAACATTCAGCCCTACTTCCTTCATTTGATAAGCCTGCTCTGATATCGTTATTCAAATATTACAAAACTCATGCTCATGCTTTCCCTTTCTCAATAAGGATAAAATTATGTCTCTGACTTTAGCGTATTTATTGCACTGATACATAAGTGCTATTTCTTGTAAGTTTAAAATAAAGTATGCATTCTCAGTTGAAGGATTCCATAATAAGTACACACATATATTTTGCCAGTAATTAAACAGATTGAAAGATGACAAAAAAAAACAACAAAAGAAAACCGTTTTACTTTTCATGGTCAGTGCGGGCCGGAATGAGGGTTGAAGGCCAGGGTGTGGGTTTTGGGCCAGGGGTGTGGATTGTGGGCCAGGGGTGTGGGTTGTGGAACATTTTGATTCCTGCAAGGGTTTAGAGCTGTCTACATTGGGAATCCAAACTTGAAAACCTGCACAATTTTTTATTTTTTTCTTTGGCACTGTGTGATGAGTAAGGTAAATGTGTTTACACATCTATGAATGTAGTAAAATTAATGGTGTTGGATACAACAATAAGGGAGGTTTATACAATCTATGCTAACCACAAAAATGAAAAGATAATATCTGTTCAAGGTCAATCGTTTGTTAAGATTAGACAACTCTGTATTTGTAACGCGCATTATTATATCCCTTAAAACACATCGATTATCCCTCTTGATTTATCAAATAACACGCGCTTTCTTATTCATAAGTTCTTTCATGGTACATTTTCTGATTTAAAAACAAAAACAAAACATATTACATATTATGTATAAGATGGATACTCATTACGGTTGGTCTTTCAATTTCTTTAGTAGATAGTTCCTGTCTGCGTATAATGATGTCCATCAAAAAACTAGTTGTTGAATATAAAATTTGTTTTGTTTTGTATGTTATTTTTTCATATCTTCTTTAACCAGATGATAATAGAGGACGTAAAAATAATAACTATGTTACTGTATGACACGTTCTGACTTCCAACCTAGAAAACTAGCTAAATATAACCTACGGAATGTCGGTAGTGCGTTTTACATACCGCCCGTGCGAGAAATAACCCTTTCAAGTTGTTCCATGTACACTTTGAAAGTTGTTTGTAAATAGTAATCTTACATATCAACCATGACTAAAAAACCACCGAATTATTGTTCATTTTGTTTTAGTTGGTTTATCTAATCTCAAAAGCAATTTCAACGTATTGCTGATAAAAACCTACAAAAATATTTAAAATTTGATGGTTCCATGCCATTATTGACAACGTTTTACGCTTGAACCCCGGGAATAAGCATATTGGGTCGCGTAACTAAGTTATCAATCTGGTTTACCGACTTTAATAATGCAGCGTGCCTCCAGATTTATGCTAGTCTTCATGAAAATGTTTTGAAAATTGTAAAAAAATCAAATATTGTGAATTGAACAAAGCAAGTAATTTACACATAGCAAACGGCACTGATTAATCACGTAAATTATCAAAAGAGGTCAAAATATGCAATACCGATAATAGTCCTTAATGCGTTAGTCACGCAGTAGCATTATGGTGATAACTTTTATAAGTACTGCAAAATCAGTCATTTATCATCGTACATAACATGTAACTTATTACTCCAGTATTGAATGTTTTTACTTTTTTCTTAAAATCTTTGTATATTTTTCTCAAATTTGATCTTCTAGAAATATTTTGGCTCATTTGGAGACATTCAGTAATTACTCAAAATTAACTAGTCTATTCTAAGATACATATATTGTATAGTGTAGGCATTTTGTTTCGTTTGTTTTCGGATGTAGTCCCCCGATACAGCGTTAATGAAAAGAACGCGATGGCACACAGCACATAATGCAAGATGACTTTTGAAAATCACATCTAAGTTTTCGATAACATCCATTAATAATAAAACACATCATAACATGAAAAAATATTATTGATAAAAGAACAATGTTGTTGTTAAACTTTTCTGAAGCACATTTATTACCATGACCATCATCGTATGTATGGACATCTTACAGAATGAAAATTATCATGTGAAAATTCGACAGATCTTAATGTACACGTCAGTTTTAAACTCACATCGTTTTAAATATAAATATTTGATTGAGTATCTCCCATAGAATATCATTGTTTGCTGAACACGTACTATACAGTCCAAGTAAATTAATTGCCGATATTTGTTATGAGTCCATTGTTCAAAGCGATTCTATGTCTTGTTTCGTTGATATAATCAGACTTTTCTTGCAGTTGTGGTATAAAGCTTTATGACATAAGACAGTTCTGTTAATTATTAATTAGAGTATTTAAACTGAGATATTTGACAGAAGTCCGCCTTCAACAGGGTTCATAGTACCTGTTACCATACTAGAATGTTCACTCAACAGGTACATTATCGGGTCAACACATTCTTGAACCTCTGCAAACCGCCCGAGTGGCGTATGCCCCTTCAGCTTTGCTTCTTTCACCGGCTCGCTCCAAAACTCTATTCCCATGTCTGTTAGTGCGACTGTTGGATTCACAGAATTCACCCGGATGTTGTGTGGACCCAGCTCCAATGCGAACTGTTTCGTCATCATGTCTAAAGCCGCCTTCGACATATTATATGCCATGCATTCCCGCATTGGGTTTAATCCATTAATGCTGGATATATTAACTATCGAACCTCCTTTACCAGCCTGTACCATCTTCTTGCCTATTACCTGGGTAACATTTACAGGTGCCATGACATTTACTGCAAATGTTTTATCCATGACTTCTTTACTTGCGTCCAAAGACGGCACCCAATCATAAGAAACGGCAGCATTATTTACAAGGCCGTCCATCGCCGGAAGTTGCTCCAATGCCGCGCGGGTGGCATCCCAGTCTGCCAAGTTGACTTGTACAATGTGGACATTCTTACATTCTTCTTTCAAACTATCAAGTAATTCCTTATTACTACCTAATCCATACACTTCCGCCCCGGCAGACGATAAATTGTTAGTAAGTAGACGACCGATTCCGCGCGACGCGCCAGTCACCAAAATTTTCTTTCCAGAAAAATCGAAAGGCATTTTAATAAAGCCAACACTGGAATTTAATACTAGTAAATGTGTGAGTGGAATGAAATACTAGTAAATGTGTGAGTGGAATTAAATACTAGTAAATGTGTGAGAAGACCTACATAACCTAATTCTCAAATGATAACATTGTCTAATCTCTATGAACATGTATACTATATCGGGACAAGTGTCCTTGATTCACAAACATTTATATCTTTATCAAAGATACCTTTGCACATATGTACATGTATATATAATATTACTCAATTAACGGAGCCTTTGAGTTCGTTGAAGAATAAGATGCGAGTTTCGTTTTTACGTGATTAGACAAACAAGTTTTATGGACTTTTATTCAAAAAATATTATATCAAAAGTACTTCACTTCCTGTCCGTTGAATTTCCAACCTCCATCGAAAATGTTCAATTTACAGAATGCGTTTTAGCAAAGATCACTATATAGTAACGCTTATTATTAAATTGTCGTCATATTCCAATACTGTAACGTTACGTCATAAATTCAGCTGAAACACTGGGGGGGGGGGGGGTGTAACTTCTACTAGCTATATTTGTTAACGTTGTACAATGTGAATTAATTTCAATTAAATAATACACGTATATATTTGTAATAATGCTGCCGACCGAGAAAGAAATAAAAATAATATGTATACACATTTTCATTTTATGAGCTATCAAAACACTAGCTAAGTATGATGGCTAATTTGGAACGCTTTTGTGCGTCGTGTTGGCGCTAGCGACAACAGGACAAAGCGCCAAATGGCGCGTTGTCGGGCTTTCATATTGTCGTGCTATCGATAACGATGTACGCCAAACGGCGTATTGTCGTGCGGCGTGTTGTCGCGATGTCACGTTGTCGCTCGGTTCAACTTCAGGGCGACATCGTGATAACGCGCCGCACGACAACCCGCTATTTGGCGTGCTTCGCTAGAGACAGGACGACAAGACGACAGCGCGACAACGCGCCGTTCAGCGCTTTGTCGTGTTGTCAGTAGCGACAAGACGAAAAGGCGATAACGATATAGGTTGCGTTGTCGTTATCGACAACGCAACACGCAATGTACCAAATCAGCCACCATAGCTAAGTATACAAATAATTAACACACAAACATTCATTACACATGAATTGAATATGTGCACTACCGTTGAAGGGTGACAAGTAAAGGGGCAAAACCACTTGGATGCAGCTACGCTGTTTTCTGTCAGAGTTACTTCCCCTATATTTTTTTATTCAGAACTTTAAAGGCACATTATGCCTAAGAAATTCACACATTTTCCATTCGTAATAACAGGTAAACACAAGTTTTATTATGGTTAAATAGTGGTTTATGACCATGTTTGATGCTTATCATACGGAGAAAATTGCACTGAATGTGACATATTTTATATAAAAGTAGCAAAATGTAAACAAAGTAGTATTTTCACTTTCATACAATACTAAATCACTATAACTGTACTGCTTGCCAAAAAGCAACAGAAGAAAAAGTTGGCTCAGGTAGCTGGCCAATAAGTAACTGTCTGCAAACTTTAACAGGTTTTTGAGAAATAAAGACGAAAGCATTTCTGAGACATAATGGGCCTTTAATCCGATGTATTATGTAGAATATACTTGTAACAGGCACGCATTGTCTGGACATTTCTTTATTATATTGATAGAAACATGTTTCTGAGAAAACAGTGATCCCTTGATTTCCTCGTAATATATTAACCATACCTACATATAAACAAAAAATGACAACGATTTTTTTCAGCAGGCCTTTTAAACCTGACCCGCTTTGTTGATTTTCCAAGTTGCAATACGAAATCAAATTTTAATGACATGACGTTTGATTTTAAATTGGAGTTTAGGATTTCACCGAGCAAATAGTAAAATATGTTAAAATTTATTGTCAATAATTACGTCTTATAATATACATGTACCAGATTCCACTGAAGACTTAAAGATGCCAAATATTTTTATAGATTTAGTGTCATTTATTTAAATGTCTATATCGCTTGTAAAATGTCGCCCTAAGGTCAAGGGTCACGAATAAAAGGTAAATGTCAAGGTTAATCATCATCATCTTCGTTGTCCCGTTCGGTCGTCCACAGTGTTAGGTTATCTCTAAGTAGCTGCATGATTAAAGTACTATCCTTGTAGACTGTGTCATGAATATCATCCATGCTTGCCAATGCTGCATCAAACTGTTTACCCGCCAGTTCACAAGCTTCGGCTGGACAGTCCTTAATTTCATAAAAGAACACGGAATAATTGAGAACTAGTCCAAGTCGTATAGGACTGCTTGGTGGCAATTCTTTCTCTGCAATATCGAACGCATCTTTGTAGGCGTTTTCTGCCTTCTTCACCAAGTCATCGCGATTAGGTTTTTCACCAGATATTTCTATCATGTAGCGGTAATAATCTCCTTTCATTTTAAGAAAGAATATTTTTGCTTGAATATTTTCAAAATTTGGTATTAGGTGTTCATCAAGAAGCTTTAAGACATCTTCGCATAATGAATTGACTTCTTCTTCTACTTGTTGTAACATTTTTTGCAATATTGCTTCTTGCTTTTCGCTGGTTCCCGATTGACTTTTCGAGCTGAGGAGCCGCCAAGCTGAACGCCGGGAGCCAACAACATTCTTGTAGGCGACTGAGAGTAAATTCCGCTCCTCCTCGTCTAAAGGGGTGTCAGTTTTGCCTATTCCTGAAAATAATGTAAAGATAAATTAATAAAATAAAGCGATACAATATGTTGCTGAAAGTTTTGTTTATTTTTTTAACTGTATGAAACTATTCCTAAAGAAATTAGATTATGCATACAAACTGTTTGTTTACTATTTACATGTAGTATAAGACAGTCGGAATAAAGAATGATTTATCTGTACTTTAATTTATAACATTTTGAGGCCTTCGTACGTTAGAATGAGCCATTTTACATTTTTTTATCATTTTATCTCATTTATACTTTTTTATTACTATAAAATGAGTAAGCTGTCGGGCTAAGCTGTCACTAATTGGAATTTGCTTCATGTGTTCTTTAAAATTTAGTTTCATTATTATACTTTGCATTTTATAATAACATACTTTATATTTAACAATGAAATACATTTCCTTGTCGTTCCATCAAAATTATTTCAAATAATAGAATTTATATTTAACAATGAAAGACATTTCCTTGTCGTTCCATCAAAAAATATATCAAATAATAGAATATTCTACAGTGAAAAATATCGGTGTCATAATTTTAAATTTATCGAATAAATCGATAATATATACAGAGGTATATTTATAATTCAAACATTTTCTTCAGAATCTCAGTTTCTTCAGATTCCTGTGCCATATTGTCAATGTATGCTGTTTAGTTTAGTTTAATAATATTTTATCAATATGATATGATTTGAAAAAACAGAGTTTGATTACCAAAAAAATAACAATAACAAAATAATAATAATAATAATAGTAATAATAATAATAATAATAAAAATAATAATAACAAAAAATACGATGGAGTTATATTGTTTGAATTTCCGGTTTTTAAAGCACTGAACTGATTTTTGTTTACATGAAGCAAATTCATATACAATGTAGTTTTTTGATATAATTATATTTATAAAATGATGTAGGTCTGTATCAATAACGTGTGTGCAAAACTTCAGATCATTCGCTCTATTCGTTTGTCCAGGATAATCATTACAATGATGCAAAATAACAGAAAAAAATAAAGCGTTTAACTGCTAATAATCGCACAAAAATTCACTTTTAAGTTTCATAAGTTGAGTATTTTTCTTTATAATCTTTTGTATATTTTCACGTTTTTAGTATCCCAGTGGATCCCAGTTGATCAGTCTGTTCAGTTTTTCACAATATTATGCTGTTGAACTTTTGGATCTAAGTTGAGATCCTTAAATGTATTATTGAAAACTATGTTTGTTATTTTTGTTTTGTTTAGTTTTACGGCACTCCAACACAGGCCACAAGGCGCAGAAACAGGAAAGATGATTTTGACTACATGTACGCTCAGTTGTTACAAACTTCAAAGCAATACCAGGGGTCAAAACCACCTCACCCGGAGCTTAGCGGACGTTACACCATTGAAAAAAATGATATACTGTATCGCATTGTGATATATCACTATTATCAGCCCATATTTGTTGAACCTACAACCTCGTTATTTGTTTACTAATATTAGTATCATAACGTGATGTCGCTTAAAATGTAGCAATTTTTATCTACTCATTCACGCTTGAGGCGAACGTTTTAGCATAAATATCCATTTAAATTGTTTAACCTTGTGTTTTGTTTGTGTATATCATTAATATTCGGATTGTAAGATGATAAAATCAGTGAATACATTATATACCAGAAAAATGTTGCGGAAGAATATTGTTTTTCTCCATCTATTTTTTGCGTCTGTTGACGCATACCGGAATTTTGTGTAAAACAACGACATGTTTTTTGTTTTGTTTTCAAACTCATCATCACATTGCTTCACATTTTTATATAATTATAAACATATAAAATCCAAGTGATCAATTCATGATAAAGGTGTGACTGGGTTGTTGGAAACTGTTGGGGTTGGTCTAAAGCGGTTGGTCTGTGAACTCGAAGCACTATAAGTAGAGGTCCACTCTTTACACTATCTATATTAGTATGTGGCGATAAATAATAGCATAGCGAAACTAAGAATTTCAGATTCTTAAACATTGCCACACGTTTACCACGCAACACTTATATACAAAACACATAATTAAGTAAAAAGAATCCATTAAAAATAAAAATATTCTTAATTTACTGTATATTAAGTAAACGGTAAGAATAAAGTATCGAACCTTTGACCAATTCCTTCATCTCTTTCACCATGTCATCATAACGCTCCGCTTGTTCACATATTTTAGCTTTCAATTTATGTATTGTACGTGCATCCCCCATTTTTATATAACTATGTATTACACAGATCCTTTCCTTGATGCAACGTTAAATGTGTACTAAATTTGCGAAAAACTTGTGTTCTCTTAACACCACCGAATGTTTAACAATCGTTTTTACATATATTCCTAAATCCAGTATCACTATTTTCGTGTTTAACACAACTTTATAATGTATAATATTACACAAACTTGTATAAAATACAATTATTTACTCAGACAATGTAAAAAAAAGCTTGTCTATATAAGTAAAATCTTCTCCTATTTCTTATTTTTATTTCAAATTCACATAACAGGTTTAAAGCGGTAGTAATTTTTCATTCATTATTCAAAATATATGTTCCACTCCTATGCCCACCAAAGACACAAGTGTCTTAACGAAAAAAGAGACCCCAACTACAG